GAAACCAGTTGACAGTATTTTGATGGGAATATTCTATTGTTGAAACCTAGTTGCAGTATTTTTGATGGGAATACTCCTATTCGTTGAAACCAGTTGCAGTATTTTTGTTGAGAATACTCCTATTGTTGAAACCAGTTGCAGTTGTTCCGTTGAAATTGACTATTTCAAATGTTCCACCAAGAATTTCAAATTTTGTGCTTTATGATGAATTAAATAAGTTAGTGTGTGTAATTGGACTAGTGCATACTTTGCCAATTTCTAGTGAATAACCAGAATATTCTCTTCTTAAACATTTTCAGCATTAGATTCGAATTACGATAAAGATTTGGTGCACACATATTTTCCTGAGTGCCACATGTAGTGCTTCTATTGTAACGAATTAGCTCACATTAAAAAGTATAGCCCCCAGTTACAACGACTAGATTTCAAGAAACGAAATCTCAGAATGTATGATAAAGGGTTGGGTTAATTTACCATTTGGATTCACAACCTTGCTCTGCTGCAAGCTGTATTTGGCGCTGAGGTAGACGCACCCACTGAGAAATGTTTTGGTCTTATATCCAGGCGTCAAAAATAAACATGGCATTATTGCTACTAAGAAAAGTGGTTATTGGGCATCATTTAATTGTGAACTAATAAGTATTATGAAAAAAGAACCTACAGAAATACTGAGTAAATCATATATTATTTGTGTATATGTCTTATTGAGGACATGTTTTGTATTAACAAGTAAAATTTAATGATGAACACGGTTTTTACAATGGTGTGATGATATTAGAAGACCAGCCACACCAAGAATAAACAGTTTCGGTGGTATTTCTTGTTATAAAAGCTGTCATCCATGCTAAGTCAACTCTAGATGGGATAGGAATTAATATATAGGAGGATGGTATCCTCACTTTTGATCTTTAAGATCATTTTCCAGGTTAAAAAGGATATCAGGGGCTCAATCGTAAAGTTTTGGGATTTTTCCGGGATTGTCATCTGTTTGAGCATGACTTTCAGAAAAATCTTACTACTTCAGTTAGAAGACTAACAATGTACGTGGAAGCGTGGTAAATATTTTAATTTACATTGAGTTGTACTTGAAATATGAACATAAGATGATTTTTCTCCCTCAAAATTCAAATTAATCTTTACCATATATTTACTTGTGTGTACATAGTTTGACTTCCTGAAAAAATGGGCCTTATTAATTTGCTGTAAAAATAAATCAGTAAATTAGATGAAATTAAAGTCCTGCATAGAAGTATTATTTTACAATAATCTATCTAAGTACGCTATTTATATAATATCTCGTTTGTTTGTTTGTTTTTGAATTTCGCGCAAAGCTACACGAGGGCTATCTGCACTAGCCGTCCCTAATTTAACAGTGTAAGACTAGAAGGAAGGCGGCTAGCCATCACCACCCACCGCCAACTCTTGGGCTACTCTTTTAATAACAAATTGTGGGATTGACCGTCACATTATTCGCCCCAACGACTGAAAGAGCGAGCATGTTTGGTGGGACGGGGATTCGAACCTGCGACCCTCAGATAGCGAGTCGAGTGCCCTAACCACCTAGCCATGCCGGGCCGATATAGAAATAGAGGAAATATCTTGTCTGAAATACTTTGTATTACCCATTATATCAAACATTATGTGATATAATGGGGCACACTTTGTTATCTATCTTTGACAAATCTTTAGTAAATTATTATCTGTCAGTTATACTGTCACACAATTAGTATTGAAATGTGGAAATTTGAGGAGCTTACAAAAAAGGGCAACCTGTGATACTAAGGTTGCTGTCAGTTTGTTTGTAAATCGGGGTCATGTATATTTTGAAATTGATAGCTAACTCAAGCCAAGTATAATCAGTTCCTACTATATAATTTTGTTCACTTAATTCAAGATAACGAAACCTTTGTAATTATGAGTTTAGACTTATAGAAAACATTCGACATTGTTGAGCGTATGTGTACTAGTTATAAGCTTTGAAAGCCTTTGGATTCGGTCTGAAGTTATTGATCATGAAGTTATTATTATGTGTATTTACCAATGTTTGTTTGTTTGTGGCAAAAATACAAAGTGCAATAATAATTTTGAACTGTCAGATATTAGGTTTGACCATCACTTTTAAACGACCTCCATGGCTGATGGGCGAGTATGTCCAGCGCTGGGTTTCGATCCCGCGACCTGCAGATTGCAAGTCAAGCGCCCTAACCACCAGGCCACGCCAGCCCCATTTGCTAATGAAAATTTATAGTGTTCAAATGAAATTTCCTAACCAATGCAACTGTTTTTACTATAGCCATTAGACAGGGGTTTATTATGAGAGTTTTCCTTTTTGCTATAGGTATTAGACAGGGGTTTATTATGAGTGTTTTCCTTTTTACTATTCTGATTGTACCCTTTTAGTAAATATGCATCTCAAGTGTCGACAGATAAGAAACTGTCATACTAAACCAAATAATGATGGTATCCTTTCAGCTTATGTTCATGATGCAACTGTTTCTGTCGAGTTTCAAAAATATTATGATATTTTTTCAGGGTAAAAACAAGTTACAAAAAATTTCTGTTTGTTTATTTACTGGCCATTGGATAAGTGAGAATAACAAGCCACCGACAATTTGTTGCACCTATATTGATATTAAGGTGTTGGGTGTGTACTTGGTGGGCAACATGGCACGTATGCACAAAAACTGACCAGGAGTATTGAAACAGTTTACAACGACATTAAATATATGAGCTAAATTTGAATTTAAAACATGATTAACATTTTACGCTGTTGTTATCAGTACAAGGTTGTGGCATAGTCTTAGAGTTATTACCCAGCCCCAAACTATTTCTTAGTAAAAATCCAAATTCTGTTTGAGGTTTCTTTTGGAAGTTCCATCAGGTTCTTGTCCAAAAACTAGAATTTAGTAGCTTAAGTTTGGTTTTTCAATTTCTAATGTTTGGTTCTTTTCGAATGTCAGGGTTACTTTATTTGGCATAGGGTTTGCTAGAAGAGATCTTTAATGTGATTGATGGATTAATAGTGTGACTGCAGTTAGGAAACATTCCTGTTTTGGATGTTTTTAAAATCCGAGATAAACCGTTGCTACCAAGTTTACCTAGATTTTATACTATTCTTAGATTAAGAAAATTAGACTTATGTCAGATCCCACGTTGGTTTACGTCATGAACTACTTTTTCATATTTTATGGACAAATTCCTCTATGCATACTACTCTGCGGGTTTTCTCATTGAAGGTAAAAAAAATAATTTACAGTGGAAGCACCTTGCTGAAACTTTACAACAGATAAAGGCTACCTTATGGCGGAAGCACCTTGTTGACACTTTACAACAGATAAAGGCTACCTTATGGCGGAATCACCTTGTTGAAACTTTACAACAGATAAAGGCTACCTTATGGCGGAATCACCTTGTTGAAACTTTACAACAGATAAAGGCTACCTTATGATGGAAGGACCTTGTTGAAACTTGACAACAGATAAAGGCTACCTTACAGTGGAAGCACCTTGTTGAAATTTTACAACAGATAAATGCTACATTACAATGGAAGCACCTTTTTGAAACTTGACAATAGATAAAGGCTACCTTACGATGGAAGGACCTTGTTGAAACTTGACTAACAGATAAAGGCTACCTTACAGTGGAAGAACCTTGTTGAAATTTTACAACTGACAAAGGCTATCTTACAGTAGATGCACTTTACTGAAACTTTACAACAGACAAAGGCTATCTTACAGTAGATGCACTTTACTGAAACTTTACAACAGACAAAGGCTATCTTACAGTAGATGCACTTTACTGAAACTTTACAACAGACAAAGGCTATCTTACAGTAGATGCACTTTACTGAAACTTTACAACAGACAAATATTTCTCATTATGAACGTATTAGTTATAGTCTTCTAAGGTCGTTGTTCTTATGATGAGTAAAATCTAAAATAATTGTACCAGAAAACTGAACAGATTCAGGATTTTCTTTACCTTTATTTTTGTTCTCGAGACGAGGGTCACGTCAGGCTTTGGTGAATATTGTGTCTTCAGTGGAATATATCACTTTATTTTGAAACTGTTTAAGTTTTCGTTGTATTCAACATTTTATTGATATTTGTTTGTCGTCGTGCGACCGGAGCTGGAAATATTGTATTGGTTCTTGGTCTGAGAAACAAGAGTCCGATTTTAAGTAAAATTCTTACAAGGAGCTGTTCCTAACCTAACTTAGTTATATAAAGTTCGAGAGTTGCCAGTATGTCCGTTTTCTGGTGAAACTGGCAAGACCGAAAATCGGTATGTTACTTGTCAAGTTATTTATAAAATCATGGAGTTTTTGAGAATAAGTTATTGTGTGTTATGGGATTGATTTTGTTGAGGGAGAGTTCAAGTTTTTGTTAAAAGATGTGAGAGAATCTCTTGGGAATTCCTCAATTTTCTCCTTATTGTCGGCAGTAGCGTCCTGTACAGGTTCTACTAAACCAGAGTACTTATGAATCTATTTTTGGTGCTTCTGTGGAAGTTAAGAAAAGATACAAAACAAAACTTGCAAGCAACTTTTTAAACCAGTATACTTAAGATCGGTGGGTTATTTATATTGAAACCGAAGTTTTGGTAATAGGCTATTTGCTATTTCTAACATCTGCCTTCCTTGGAATGCACAAAAGAAATCAGTGTTATAAATATCGAAGTTTAATTTATTAATTTTGCTTTTTTATTTTTATTTTCTTATTGAGATTTTAATGTGCAATCTTACTTCGTGTTAGCGTTATTTGAAAACGGCTTACTGTTAGTAAAAATTAATTTTTTATCCACTTATTTGCTTATTTATATCATCAATGTTTACAGGAGCTTTTGTCATCAAAGTCACCAGCGTGAACACTAGGTTTTAACAAAATATCAGTGGAAGAAATGACTCATATTAAATTGGAGAACCTAGAGAACATGACTCTTGTCAACCGTGAAGCGCTCCCTGCCGGTTCTTATACGCAAGAGGTTCGACGCCAGTCAGACACCGAGTTCACAGAAATGGATTACGTTGACTCTGACATGTCTGTTTTGTCACAGTTTCACGAGGACGCCATCTCTCAGGTAAAGTAACACATTCAAAACATATGACTTTATAATATCGAGAAGAAACACAGTGCTTACTTTTTTTTCTACTGGGATACAAAAAAGTGTTCGTGTTTGAGTAAACGTTAAAGGGAAAATCATCCAGTTGTTTGCAGAGTGAATTAAGATTTCAAAAAATTCTTTTCTTTGTTGCTCTCCTGATTTTTTTGGGGGGAGGGGCACATACCCCACCCCCTCCCCGGTTTCGCCACCTATGATAGAAATCATATTAGGAGCACCTGAAGACTACTGTTTTGAGCAATGTCAACTATCTTTAATCCAGCAAGTCGATGTATGGTGTTATATGATGGCTTCAAGATGGAAAGTGGCTGCCGTAGTAGTTTGAATACATACACATTACGAAAGAAAGTTTAACCTCATTTAGCTAAATTTAACATTCGGGAGTTTGAGATTTTTTTGTATGTATGTTACGTCTTGTGGCACGACAGCATTTGTTTTGTGTGTGTGTGATGAACTGTGGCACGACAACATTTGTTGTGTGTGTGTGTGTGTGATGAATTGTGGTATGACAACATTTGTTGTGGGTGTGTGTGATGAATTGTGGTAGGACAACATTTGTTTGTGTGTGTGTGATGAATTGTGGCACGAAAACATTTGTTGTGTGTGTGTGTGATGAATTGTGGCACGACAACATTTTTTTGCGTGAGTGATGAAGTGTGATATGACAACATACAGACTCATATCAGATAACAAGACTCATCTGTAATCAGCTAAGAACTGCGGTCTTGAGTTGCGTCAGTTCTTATCAGCTCGTATGAATCGACGATAGAGCTTACCACCCAATAGACCTTTATACATACATTTTACAATTTAACCGAAAGAAGTTAGAAAATGGGTAATTAAGCGGTATTCATAAATTTTAAGATATGATTCTGAGATTACCGAAGAATATGATTAACCTTTTATTTTCGAAATCTAAATGCTTTTGCTTAATTTCACATTTTTATACGCATGAAAAACATGCCTCAGCGGTAAGTTTGAGGGATTAAAACAAACCTAGGTTCGATACCCGTAGTAGGCACAGCGCAGATAACGTGTTGTGTAACTTTGTTTTCAAACAACAACAACAAAATTAAAACACTGATCTTGAACTTGTACCGAGACAACTTTTCGAATAACTAGTACAAACCTTAATGGAGTTATACAGTTGATTTTCTTGGACAGGTGCGAGATATTTTATAGCAATTGATAATAAGATTAATTGCAGTAACTTTCCAGAAATGGTTTGCTAAGAATTACTAATAATCACAAAGATATTGCCTCATTTTTCCATGAACTATCGTTTCTGTAATAGCGCAGTGATACTACAGTCAATTGACCATAAGCTATCAGGTGCTATATCCTCTACAACATCATTCATTTGAACATAATTACTCTGAAATATTAATACACAAGCAACCCCTTCGAAATTACATCTAACCTATATTCTCAGCTAATTTCTGAAACTCTAGTTGATATTCTATATAATATAGAAAATAATTTGGTTGTTCAACCACTCATCCCCCCCCCCTCCAAAAAAAAATCAAGACTGCTTTGTAGAAAAGGCTCAATGGTAGAGTCAAAACTAAAACTGAGAAAAACCTAGACTTATAGAAAATGAGTTTTAACAACAATTTTTTTGTTAGTTTCATTGGTTTGAATTTTTTGTTTTTCACTTTTGATTATGTATTTGAACTTCAAAATGCCGTTTAAGAAATGAACCAAAACCGTCATTAAACATTTAATGTTTTGAATATCTGATCAAGTTTATTATTTATCAAAATATTTTATTTTGTTTGTTTTATAACACAAAGCTACACAATAGGTTACCTGTACCATCCTCACAGGGTATCAAAACTCGGTTTTCAGCGTTAGAAGTCTTCAGACTTGCCGCTGGGCCACTGGGACGGGTCAAAGTAAAAAAAAAAATCATTGTTAACCGAAATCAAAATCTTAGCTTGACTTCGTTGGCTTTGAATAGGAAAGGTATAAGGTTGAAAGTGAATTACTGTTCAATAACTTGGATTTTAATGTAGATTTACTAAAATTCTTCACCTTACCCATGTCTACAAATTGTTAGGTTTTATTTATTATTTTTCAATTTTAAAGCTATATCATTGACTTTCCAGAACAACTTTTGTTTGTTTCTTAATTTCGTCAAAACTCACACAAGGGTTATAACATAACATAATGTTTTGGGAGAACATGGGACCTATTGGTCCTTCTCGGCTGTCCCATACTCTAAGCTAAACTAAAACTATTATTAAATAAATTTTGAAAAAATCTTAAAGCTAACCATTATCGTTCACATAGTTATCAAGCTTTCTCTTAAACTCGCTTAAATTTACTGCCTCCACGTCATCCAAAGGCAACCCATTCCAAAGGCCAATTTCCCTGTTAGTGAAATAAAACTGCCTTAGCTGAAGATGACTCCTACCCTACCAAAATTGTCCTTTTGTCCTACTTTTCTCACTGTTAAGTATGAAAAAAGTATGATGCATCAACACTATCAATCCCCTTTACAACTTTAAACATCTCAACCAGATCCCCTCTAACTCTTCTTTTTTGGAGAGAAAACAATTTTAGAGAGTTCAACCTCTCCTCGTATGACAATCTCTCATCCCAGCCACCATTCTAGTAACCATCTGAATCCTTTCCAACAATTCAATGTCCTTCCTAAGGCAAGGAGCCCAAGACTGAATGAAATACTCTAAATGTGGCCTAACCAATGAAGTATACAATGAAATTATAACTTCTTTAAAGTTTTATTCAATATTTCTGTAGATACAATCTAAAATCCTATTTGCCCTACCACTAACAACAGCACATTGCTTGAATGACT